AAGAAGACATCTGGATAGTCATTTCTTTTGAGAAACCTGGATGGGACAGGATCTTTCATTGCAGAGCAATATAAGATGCTGTAAGATGTTATCAATGACACAGCATCTCGAGGGCAGCATTCAGTAACCTCTTCAAGCCTATTGTCTTGGGTATGTCACACTTTTATGTATGTGTGCTGATGTGTATTTGTGAGTAGGGATATACATGTGTGCAAAGATCAGAAGTCAACCTCAGTTGTCATTTCTCAGGTACCATTCCTGTTGTTTCTTGAGATGGGGTCTCTCACTGGCCCGGAGCTGCCAAATAAGCCAGGCTGGCGGACCAGTGAGCCCCAAGGGTCCACTGGTCTTCCCCAATGATGGGATTGCAAGAATACACAGCCCACCATACCCGACTTTTTTTACATGGGCAGACTCTGGGCATTGAACGTAGATCCTCCTGCTCTCGTTGCAAGCACTTTATTGACTGAGCCATCTCTCCAGCTCTACACAATGTTGACTCATTCTTTTTTCTTTGAGAATTTCATACAATGTATTTTGATCACATTAGGAATTTGTTAAGCAGTTTCCCTCTCTCCACTGAAGCAAGAATCCCATCACTTATTTTGCAGTAGCTGATAACCATGTTTGAGAGGGGCAGAATGTGGAAGCTATTATATATTCTGTTGGAGTGAGTTAGAACACAGAAAACTACCCTCCCCCCCACCGCACTAGTTCTAGGGAGCAAGAGCAGAGAGCCTGCCTCTGATGGTGGGTGATGGAGAAGTAGCTCTCCAGGGTGGGCTTGTTCCCCAGTGGTGGGGGAGGTGTTTGCTAGGCGCCTGAGTGATAGAGACAGTCTAATTAAACCGGGATTGATTTATTAACGGAGTTCTACTGCTCACATAATTTAACAACTCCGAGGTGTTGCGGGGCCTGGGGTATTGCTAAAGAGTGCTAAGGCTCAAGATAATTATTGCCTGACTTTGGAGAGGATGACAGATGGGGTCTCATTGTCTCTGGAAATCTCCCTGGCAATTGAAGCAGGAGTCTTTGTTGGGTGTTGTGTAGGGGGTCTTGCTGTTGGTCCTTGGCTGCCTCGCTGGCATGCTCTCTTCTGCATTTCCAGGGCCTTTTGTCCCTCCTTTGCTGACCCTCCCTCCAAGCCCCTGCTTACTCAGCTGCAGGTCTGCCTTTGGCTTGGCCTTAACAATGGGTCTCCTGAGTCCTGTTCGTTTTCCAGCTGCCTTTCTATTTGAATTTATTTCCAGCCAACATGCTTTTTGGTCTGGATGGACTTGGTTTAAAAAAAAAAAGAAATCTGGTCTTTTAACCAGGCCTGTACAAATATTTATTTAAGACTTATGTTGTGTGCCTGCTTCTGGGGTGTAGCACAAGTGAGTCCCTCAATGTAAATGACAGTCTGCCTTAGGACATGCAAACCGTGGGAGGCTGGAAGTCTATCTGGCAAGGAGTGATGTTCTGCTGGTGTTCTGTTGCCTGGCTCATGTAGCCCACAATCACACTCCTAGGGGCTCTGAACCATTAGCAACCTGCTCATGTAGACCATGGGACCCAGAAACCTACATGTGATAATGACCGAAGCACTTGAGAGCAGTGCCTTCTATTTCTAGATAAGTGTTTGAACTCTCCTGCTAGTTCATTTTAGACCTTTGCTTATCTTTATATAATATAATACAGTTTTCCCCAAATAAAATATATAATCTAATTTGAATGGTTACTTAAAATGACTGTAAGAAAACACCAAAAGTAGGGGGAAAAGCCCTCAAATATTCCTATCCTTCCAAGGTTAACCACTATTATCGTTTGAGGGACCAACAGCAGACAAAGAAGCAACTTCACCTGAACATGAACTGGTTGGAGTTACCTGGGAGAGTATGCATGACACACAGGCAGGTACATCACTGACAAGTCTACCCCAGCATGGGTGAATAGTCAGAAAAGCCTCATCTTAGAGTTCTGATTCCCTTCATCTCCATGGCCCTATCACTGTGGCCCTGCTTCACAGCTGCTCACACAGCCCTCTCATGGGCCTTCAGTGTGTGGTGTGACTGAGGCTGACATGGCCCATGTGTGTCCTTCACAATTGAGTCTAGCTCCTTATAGGTAGCATCTTGGCTTCTGCCTATGGTGACTTTGGGCTGTGCTTACTCTTGTATGCATGGAGCTCCTCTGACCTCTTCTCTGCCTCCGTTTGTCACCCTGAGACAGGGCTGTTCTCCAAACACAACTCATTCTTTCATGAGGAAAGTTGGAAATGCCTCAATGAAAACACCTCAGTTTGGTGGTTGGGGAGGGCTCCAGGTGGTCAAGTGCAGACTCCACCAGCAATAGGTACTAAACTTGATCCCCAGAACCAGAAGAAAGTTGGGTTATTATACTCTCAGTGCTGGGGGATGGGGGTGGGGGGCAGATCCCTGGGACTTGCTGACCAGCCAACCTAGCTTCTTTGGCAAGTTTCAGACCAATGAGAGACTTGTCTTGTGAAATGAGGTGGGCCTGGTGGCAGCACACACCTTTAATCCTAGCACTCAGGAGGCAGAAGCAGGCAGATCTCTGAGTTCAAGGCCTGGTCTACAAAGTAAGTTCCAGAACAGTCAGGGTTATACAGAGAACCCTGTCTTGAAAAACCAAAAGTAACCAACTAACCAAACAAACAAACAAAAAATGAGGTGGACAGCTTTTGAAGAATATCATTGGAGTTTTACCTCCAGTTCCACACCCATACTCATGTACCTACACACATATGTATACATACACACAAGAAAAGAAAGGGAGAAAGAAAGAAAGGGAGAAAGAAGGAAGGAAATGGAGAAGGAAAGAAAGAGAAAGGAAGAAAGAAAGAAGGAAGGAAGGAAGGAAGGAAGGAAGGAAGGAAGAAAGGAAGGAAGGAAGGAAGGAAGGAAGGAAAGAAAGAAAGCCCTTTAGTGTGATTTTCTTTACATGGAAACAGGGCAACCTAAACCTGTCTACCCACTTCTGTTGAATTAATTCTTATTCTGGATTTAGGATGGGCTATGATTCAGTTATGGGCCTAAGAAAATGAACTTATTTCCTGACACTCTTGAAAATTCCTCAGAGGCTATTGAGCTCTTCCATGTGGGCCTTAGGCTGATGACTGTTTACAGTTGTTCAGCAGCAAGACCTGCGAGCTGCCCGCAGTGGGAGGCTGCTAGCGCAGAGCCTCTGTGAGGACCCTTCAGAGGACTCTCAACTCTCCATGCAATTTTGGCTTTTTGCTCTTTGCATGTTATCAAGGAATTAGACGAAGGTGCTTCTTAAGTAAATAGCACATCTCTCTGAAGGACCCCGAGTTTACTAGGACCCCACTGGCTCACAGCACCCTGCTCAAAGGGCATGAATAATATTAATGTTCCATATTTTCTATCCATTATCTGTTCACCTGGCAGGCTTAACTCACTTCCAGCGTAGTTCTGAGAGTGAAACATGTCATCAGACTCCATGTAGCCAGAGAAGCCTTCCCTTAGTGGCTATCTCCCGAGTGTGTGTGTGTGTGTACATGTACACTTGTGTGTATGCTTATATTTGCATATACCTGTATATACGTGTGTACATATGTATACAAACACATGTACATATATAGGCCAGAAAACAACTTTCAATGGTATGCCACCTTTTTTATTTTTATTTTTTTAATTTTTTTATTATTTTTTTATTTTATTAGTTCAAATTAGGAACAAGCCTGCTTCAGATGTCAATCTTTTCTCCTTCTCCCTCCCCTCCCCCCAACATCCCACCTGCCCCTAGCCATCCCCCCTCCATTCCCCAGGCAGGGTAAGGCCCTCAAAAGGGGCTCCCCAAAGTCTACCACATCATCCTGGTGTGTGTATATTGATCTGGCCCACAGAGGCCAGAGAAGGTATCAGATTCCTGGAGCTGGAAATAACAGGGGATTGTGAACCACCAGACACGGGTGCTAGGAACTGAATTCTGGTCCTCTGGGGGGAAAAACCCAGCAAGTGTTTTTAATCATTGCCAACTTTGTATTTTTGAGATGGTCTCTTACTGGCTTAGAGGTTACCAAGTGGTGTAGGCTGGATAGTTGTTCAGCCTAAAATGGCCTTAGTCTTACCTTCTGGTGCCTGGCTTTTTTACTTGGGTGCAAAGGGTCAAGGTCGTGCTCTCATGCTTGCAATCTACTGAGCCCAGCCTACAGAATTTGTTTAATTACAAATCTGAGGTGAGGTTCTTTATATTTCTCACTGTAATAACTTGGGCATCTACTCCTTTGAAATCTGTTGCTCCCCATGGAAAGACCTGGTATCTCTCAAGTGCAGACTTTTGTTTGTTTGGTTTTCAAGACAAGGTTTCTCTGTTTGTTGCTCTGACTATCCTGAAACTTGCTCTGTAGACTAGGCTGGCCTCAAACTCACTAAGATCTGCCTGCACCTGCCTCTACAGTGTTGGGATTAAAGGCATGCGCCACCATAGCCTGGCTAAGTGCAGACATTTTGAAGTCACAAGTAGGTGGCCTTCTGGGGCAGGCGATGGGAAGAGGCTTGTAACTGTGCATGCACATTGTACCAAGGCGAGAGAGAGCAGACGGATTCAGAGTAGAAATCCAGTCAGACCTAATAGTGCAGGTCTGTGGTCCTAACAACTGAAGAAGCTGAGGCTAGAGGATTCAGGTTTCAGCTTCACTGAAAATTTAGTTCCCAGCTCCTTGCTTTCAGTTCTTAATTCTCAAAGACACAGAAACCATGTGACTGACAGGGTGCTAAATTGTTTGTTTTCCCTGAAGTTGGCCTTGGGATGCTTCAGAACACAGCAGAAGGGGGAAGTGTCGCAGGTAGAATTTGAAAATAATTTCTTTTTCTTTTTTAATTCTTAAATTTTTAGACATTGAGTTAAAAAATTTTTTTCTCTTGGAACTTTCCCCTGATGTTTAAAAGGTTGTATCCGATGTGCTGATGAACTCACAAGTGAAACCTAGAACCCACGAAGCTGTCAAATCTGAACGGTGTTTTCTTTCTTTCTAGCTGTCTCCGTCATGAGGTACAGCGCCTCTGCCTTTGGGTTTGCTGTAAGTAGCCTGAAAAACACTCACCACCGTGAAGTTCTGCACGCTTTCCCCGGGCTTGCCCTGTGACTCACACCCAGTCATGAAATAGGTGGCTGCTTATGCCTCGCAGACACGAGATGAGCATGGGAAGCGCAGCTTTAGGGAAAACGGCTTCTGTGGAAATGACAATGGGGTAGCAATGAGCGGCATAAAGATGGGATGGTTCCCACTTATACATCGGGGTGCACATGCTCTCTGACGGGGTTGTCTGAGAGGATGTTTTGGGGAGGTTTGCCTCTGTATGCCCTTCCAGGTTGCATGTGGGCCTGGAACATTGGGGTGGTGCATATTGCTGGTATAGGCAGAGACATTGGGAGTTGAGATGGATCGGGGCTGTTCACACTAGAAGTCTGTAGCCCAGCTAAGGGAGCTGAGCTTTCTGCCTGCCTCCTGGTGGAAATAGGTCAATGTAGGCAGGTATGTTGAAAAATCGAGTGACATTTCTTCATAGTCCTTCAAGAGAGGGCCAGCGGTAGCATATTCTCAAGACTTGAGACGCGTGATGACTCAAGTGATTTCCTTCCCTCCTTGTTACACAGACATAAGGCATCGTGTACTGGGTCCCAGGCCTACATCTGCCCTTTGCTGTAAGAATTTAATGTTTGGGGAGTGTTGCTTTGAGGATGTTGCCATTCTTTTAAGAGTCTTATGAAGGATTCCGACTGTCCAGATAATTACACATGCACACACTGTACCCAGAACATAAACAACATGTACACATACCAGGAAATAAATGCACAACATATATACACACAGTGAGATACATATACAATAAACACAACCAGACATGTACAGCACACACACAGAGAGAAATAGAAACACACACAGCATAGACACATATCCAGAAATAAATATACATCATAGACACATGTGTGTGCACACTACACACACACACACACACACACACACACACACACACACACACCTCCAGACACACACATCATATACACTCTCAGAAATACCCCCCTCAGGTTCTCTCAAAAGCATATTAAACTGTTGGTAGACTTTCTAGACCTAGCTAAAACAATTTCAGTGTGAGTTAGAATTAGAATTTGCCCCCAAGGTTTTTTTTTTGTTTTTAACTTACTATGTATAGGAAAAGGCCAATGTCATTTTGCCTGTTGTAGGAAAAAGCAGTTTTATGTATTTCAGAAAATTGTACCTCTCATTCCTATATCCTGTCCCATATCTAGGAACCCAGGGCTCTGAGAACAGAGCCAACCATACAAGGGCCATAGTCCTGCTACCAGGGCAGTTTGTAATGCCCAGGACTCCACCATGGAGTTCAAAGTGGCTGCAAGAAGCATGCAGAAATGTGTGTACTTCAAGATGCTTATTCAAACTCTCTGGGTCACTGCAGTTGCCCTATGTGTTCATGGTTGTGCCTTGTTGACTCTGGAGAGCCACTAATGTCCTGTCTCCTTCTCTAGTTTGACGCCATCCTGGATGTGCTATCCTCGGCCATTGTCCTCTGGCGTTACAGCAATGCGGCCGCCGTGCACTCTGCTCACAGGGAATATATGTAAGTGGATTCTTCTTTCAGATTGGAGGAGTCTTAAATGAAAGCCTTGCCTCAGTCGTTGTCCTGATGTTGAGAAGGGGGTGCAAGTTGCCTTTGGTATTAGCTAGTACACTGTCAGTCATGAGACAAGTCTTTTCTTGAGATAGTCAAAAGGACATGTGCCTTTATAATTTGTTCAGTTCCCTGATCTAGAGTCTGAAGTGAATATTTTCTTGTCTGCCCTTCTGTTTAGCTATTCACCTAATTGTCCATCTGTCCATTCTTTCAACCACCTATCTGTCCTCCAGTCTTCTCATCTATCCACTCTTCCAACTGTCCACCCATCCATCCTCACATTCATGCACCTACCCACAGCCTGTACATACATATATACATAATACATACACATATCCATACATCACTTATCCATACATCCACTTTCCATCCACCCATCCATCCATTTACCCATCCATTCATCCATTTAGCAGTCTTCCTATCTACTAGTTTATCTTCTTTCCCTGCCCCTCTGTCCTCTTTCCTTCTCCCCCCTTTCTTCCCTGCTCCATTTCTCCCCATTCTCTCTTCTTGCTGTCTCCATTTTCTTGCAGGGTCTCAAATGCTAGATCAATTCTCTACTACCAAGTTGTATCTCCAGCTCTCGCAGTCAGATTTGTTGTTGTTTTGTCTGTCATATTTTTCTTTAATTAATAATTCAATATCTAATCTATTAATATTGATCTCTTAAATTTTTTTTGTTTTTTGAGATGGGGTTTCTCTGTGTAGCCCTGGTTGTCCTGGAACACACTTTTTACACCAGGCTGGCCTCAAACTCACAGAGATCCACCTGCCTCTGCCTCCCAATGTATAAACCTGCTGAGATTAAAGATGTGTGCCACCACCACCCAGCTTCACACAGTATTTTTGTTTGTTTTGTTTTGTTTTGTTAAGTCTACAGTACCTGGTATTTCCAGGTCTCCCATCCACATACTAACCAGACCTGACCCAGCTTAGTTCCCAAGATTAGACAAGATTGGGTACATTCAAGATGGTATGGCCATTGAGCTTTTAATTTCATACAAACTGATGTAAGACACATCTATGCACATAAAACACTCTCAAACACCCATAGAAATTCATGCTCTGAGCATCACTGCTTGCTAGGTCTGGAAGTTCACTATGCTTCAGTCCCTCATTTGGTAAAGTAGAAAAAGAAACATTCCTCCTCCATGGGATTTTCATGATGGACACATATGTTCCTACACACACATCCACACACATATATGTTTGTGTACATATGTGATTGTGCATACATGAGCTTGTATATGTGTGTGTGCCTGTATATCAGCACACACAGGGTTTTCCCTGGCCTCTATGGTTTTTGGATGGTTGACCACCAACGAGCAAATGGTCCTCTGTGAGATTCTAGTGGTGCCAGAGAGAAGGTGCTGGTGAGGCAGTATCAAACCACACACAACCACAGAAGGCAGAGGTATCTCTTTGGTGTCAGGAACTCGGGCAGTAATGTATTTGGGGGTGAATGTGTTGAAATGCAAAAACTCCTGAAAGATGACAGCATACAGATTCATTAATGACATCAGGAAAACAAATCAAGAGAGTTGGAGGGATGGCTCAGCTGTTAAAAGCACATACTATTTTTGCATTGGATCTGAACCCACATTAGGCAGCTCACAACGGCCTGTAATTTCGGCCTTCCAGGATCCAATATACTCTTCTGACCTCATAGGGACCTGCATTCATGTACATATACCCCAACGCGGACACAAACACACATAATTTAAAAATAATAACATACATCAGGTGGTGGTGACACATGCCTTTAATCCTAGGACTTGGGAGGCAGAGGCAGGTGGACCTTTATGATTTCGAACCCAGCTTGTTTTACAGAGTGAGGGCTAGGATAACCAGGGTTGTAACACAGAGAAACCCTGCCTCAAAAAACCAAATAAATAAAGTAATAAAATGCATCCCTTAAAAGACATTGAAAAAAGAAAACTAAACAATACACAAAAGCCCAACCCAAACTTCTACACATGTGAAATATTTACTTTGATGTGCATCATCTCTTTTAAGAAATATGAAGTGTTGGATTTGTGATATCAAAGATGATACAATTTGGATAAAGTCAATTTTGAAAGTAAGTTAACCTTCTGGTAAAAAAAATTTAAGGAAATCGGATAGTAGACATTTTAATTTTATAAAATTTCGAATGATGATTCTGTAATGTGGGAGGCACAATGTACACACCCAATTCATTACGTAGGGGTTTGAGGACTTCAATAAAACTGCCATGAAGTCTAGAGGGCTGCCCTGTCCTGTGTCAAGAGCTAGGCACCATTTAGAGTAACATGCAACCCTTGGTTTTGCAGATGTGTTACCCAGTTTGCCTTTTACTTCCTTGCTTTAAATTGATTTGGAGATGAAGTGTAAGGGTAAAATATACCCCAGACTCCAGAGAGTGAGAATAAGAACATCTATAGTTTATATTGTGAGAGATGGATGTCAGTAATGTGTTTGCCATGTGAGCATGGAAACCTGAGTTTCCCCAGGCCAAGCTTGATAAGAAGTGTCTTTAATTCTACTGTTTTCAATTTTATTTTATTTGTGTGTATGTGTGTTTATGTGTGTGTAAGTGCACAAATAGGTGCAGGTGTGTGTGTGTGTGTGTGTGTGTGTGTGTGTGTGCGTGCGTGTAAAGGGCAGAGGTCATCTTGGGTATTATTCTTCAGGTGCCATCCACCTTGTTTTTTTTGAGACAGGGTCTCCCATTTTTAAATTTTAAAAACTTTCATTTATCTTTGAGATTATGATATAGTTACATGAGTACCTTCCCCACCTTTCCTCCCTGTTATGCTAAGTTGGGAGCCTCAGGAGTTTACATAGTTCTGCCTCCCTGGTGCTGGGATTATAGACATGGGCTAGCACATTTGGCTTTTTTCCCCTCAGAAATTATGTATTTTTTTATTTTTACAGTTTTTTATTTAGAAACAATCTTATTTTACATACAAATCCTCCCCTTCCATCCTCCCTTTCTCCCACAGATCCCCCCAACGCAACCCCCACCCACTCCCCAAGGACAGAGAGGCCTTCCATGGGGAATCACCAAAGTCTGTCACATCATTTGGGGGAGGGCCTAGGCCCTCCTCCGTGTATCCGGGCTGAAATAGTATTCCTCCATAGAGAATGGGCTCCCAAAGTCCATTTGTGCACTAGGGATATATACTGGATCCACACTGGCTTTTTAAAGGAGGGTTCTGCTGGTGGAAATCAGGTCCTTATACTGGTGCGGCTAGCACTTTCCCAACTGCATCTTACCAGCTCTGGTTTCACTGTTTTTAAAGATCCCCAAATAGATACATTAAAACTGTGTCTGTTACCCACAATGCAATGGTGAAGGTCTACTTTGAGGATCTTTGGGTGGTTGTTTGATGGATAGTGATTATGAGTTCACTTGGAGATTTCTAATCTAAGGATTAAGCGATACTTATAATCCTCCATATCACCAGCTTTAGTTAACATTTCAATCTCTGGTTAAAAATTCATGAGCTCACAGCCGGCTGGGAATATATTTGCATATTAATGAGCACAAACAAGCATTGAGGAATACAGTTAGAAAAACCATTGGCTTCCAGTTAGTTTCTAGAGAGTAATATTGGAGGGAGCTGAGAAAGACCCAACAGGCTTTTATAAGCGGCCAGTTCTCTTACTTTTCTGATTTGAAGTCATAGCCTCAGAGTCAATCTTGGGTTTGAAATTGCCAGTGCAGAAGGTGGATCCCCACTGGCACTTAGCCACTTGGAAATGGAGTGTATGATGCTTCTGCCTTTCTGCAGTATGTGGCCTCCATAGTGTCCTTTTGCTGAATTTTTTTTTTAAAAACTTTTATAAAACTTATGTAACTTAAAATTTGATTTTTTGTACATACGTTCATGCATGTACAAGTGTACATGTGAGTGCTTACCTGTGTGTGAAAGCCAGCAGATAGCTTTGAATGTTGTTCCTTGGGAATCATCCACCTTGTTATTTTTAGACAGGGAGCATCATTGGCCTGGAGCTCACCAAGTAGACTCAACTGGCTGAGCACTGAGCCCCAGAGATCTGCCTGTCTCTGCCTCCCTAGCTCTAGGATTGCAAGTATGTACCACCACACCTCATCTTTTTTTTCTTAAAGAATTCTGCAAATTGAACTCTTGTCCTCATGCTGCTGCAACACACATTTTACCCAATGAGCCATATCCCCAGCCTTCAAATGAACCACTTTTAAGTGTGTATAGCTCAGTGGTCTTAAGCATATTCATGCCATGTGAACCAGCCTTGTGGTCCTGCAAAACTGTGCTGATCTTAGCCAAAAGGGGAAGAAGTAAGTCCTCTCACAAGAGAGAAAGTCTATACCCATGGAATATTCCCATTCTTCTCTCCCAGGCCCTGCTGGTAACACCAGGTTATCTTCTGTTTACATGACTCTGATTACATTAAATAACTCATAAATGCAGTTATACGGTGTGGTGTGAGCTTTCCTGAGGAGAAGAGAAAATTTCTATTCATTTCAGATAAGGCGTGAACCAGCGAGAGCATTTGGAGTTTCTTATAGGAGTATGGCCAACGTATGGATGACTAAGCCACCATGATGAATACTGCCAACTTGAAAAAGCTGTCAAATCACCAGAAAGACAGCCTCTGAGCATGTCTGTGAGAGAACTGATGTAGTTAACTGAGATGGGACAGCTCACCCTAAATATTGGTAGCACCGTCCCACAATCTGGACTGCAGGCAAGGCACCAGGACCTATTGCTCTCCACTTCTTTAGGTTGGACACATGTCACCAACTGCCTTTCTGTCCTGCCACTATGGCTTCCCCACCATGATGGGCAGTACTGCTCAACTGTGAACCAAAAGAAACCTTCCTTCTTAAAGTGCTTTTGCCTGGGGTTTTATCACAACAATGGCAAAAGTGACTAACCTTCCCCACCCCCCACTACAGAGCATTTATGGCTCTGTCTAGT